AAGAACTTGTCGGCAAATAAAATGGTTTCGCAGACCAAATGGATGTCATATATTTCTTAGTTTATTTGATTGAACCTCACTCTCAAGTCTTGTGTTTATCTTTGTGTTTGTTTATCTTTCGGGATAGATACAGGATTTGAGGTATAGTGCTCTTTCATTTTAACTATAAAAAAAATGGGGTCGATTTTATTACATATTTTTCTAAACTTATATGTATACATATGTAAATTAAATGTTTTTTCAAAGCGGACGACGGGATTTCGATTCTGACGGCCGACAACTTCCAACGGACAACTCCACAATCAAAAATAGTGTCGACCAGTGATCTTACAAGTAATGGAATAACCATGAGAAATGAATTAAGATAAAATATAACCAACGAGGATGAAATTTCTTTGAAGTGTACAATATTTAAAGAACCTTAATGAAATGTTTTCATTTGAAAAAAAAAGAAAATCAGTGATACAATGAGTTTTATAAATATTAAAAAAACATATAAATCTGAATGCCATAAGTGCCCATAAAATATTTACTTTTAGGATGACTACTAACAATATTTTTCTATATTTTATAGAAGACCTTCAAGAAATATATATATTATCTTATCATGTTTAACATGTTTATATATAAAAAGAACTAAGAAAATGTATAGGAGAAAGATTTTTGCTCATCCAATGATAACTTTTTGAAATATATATACTGTACCTGTGTGATTAATATTATTTTGTGTGTGTATGTTAAGTAGTCATTATGAAGTAGTGGTAGAAAATTCATGTCACCTTATTTAATAAACACTTGAAATATCATAGGAAAAGAAAAATTAAACCATATAAGAAAACAATTTATAAGCATCTTGGTGCCTGAGCCACCATTGATCCAAGAGTCATGGAAGAAACTAGGTGAGAATTGTTATAAAACCCTGATAAAGATGCACATTTAAATTTTGATAGAAATGGAATAAAGGTTCTATAAATGAATTATTTATGTGTTTGAAACATAAGGATCCCTATATTTTGAAGCGCTAAAAAGCATAATAAAAATTTATCTTTTAGAGACTCAAACTAATTTAGAGTTACACATGAAATATAAAGCATATAAAGAAGGAAGATCCAAGCCACTACTTTCAATTGAAAAATTGGAAAGTAGTAAATATATATATATATATTTTAATTCCTATTATAATTTTAGTTCACAATAAAGCTAAAGTTCCTTTCTTCAAAACCTTAAGAAAGATAGTTGTTCCAAAACAGAACTAAAAAAATTTCCTAATAATTGATCTCAATGTTTAGCATCTACTAGAAAAGTATATTTTCTTCCAATGACTCGAGCAAGAATGAACTGTATATATAATTTTTGTTCCATCACTAATGTTGAGCTTACAGGATGAAGTATAAACCCAAAAAGTTTTGAAAGTAGATATTTACAAATTACGCCATGCACCCCCCACACACACACGAAATTAAAGAAAAAATTAAATATAGCTTTAAAATTAACTTCCATAGATAAAAATGTAGTATATTTATCTATATTACCAAATAAAAAAAGAGAAACATGTCAAAGTTTTAAAATTATCCAAAACAGTATTATGCAAGTAATAGATTGTTTATTGATCTTGTCAGACGCATAAATGTAATAAACATGAATAACGAAAGATAATGTATTATTATTACTCACTTAAGACAAATTTAGTACAATGGGCTTTCATTGTACTTATGTCGCGAAAAAGATATTTTATAAAAAACTTAATCAACAAAGAAGATAATACTGAAACTTTATGCGGATTAAATGTGGTAGGTAAATATTCTATTAATTCATTATTAATAAACACAACAAAGACCTTATAAGTGCTTGCTACGAACCAGTTAAATTGTAATAGGGAAATCAAAGGCTCTTAAATCAGAGAAAAAGAATTATTAGTAAACTATGTTAAAGGCTTTCTTTTTCTTAAATCTAACGTAAGGAAAAAAATATTTCAAAGTGTTACATTGATAAAAGTGAGGCAATGTCCTGATAGTTAGACTCTACAAGTAAGAGGCATTTTTATAAATGGAATTACAAAATAGAAGCGTCCAATAATCATTTAAAATATTATCATGAGATGTCATAGAGATTAAGGTGATAGATGAATCCTTAAGATAATATGAAAGTTTAGATAAAGATAAAATTTAGTGCACAACCTCAGCGAAGTTGGCTAATGACATATTAACCATTCTTAGGAAATTTTAAAGTGAATCTAGTCCAAGAGCTTTTTTTTCTTTTCAATATCATTAAAATCTTATTTGATATTCTCATAAAACATGTATCAAGGATCATTGCACTTATTTCAAATGAAGGTAAAACTAATGAAAATGTACTAAGAGTAAGAGAGGTGGAACTGTCTTTAATATTTAAAGAAGATGAAAAGTTAGAGATAGCCTCATGAGATTTATCATTCTGAAAGTTTATGGTACTAATATTGCAAGAAATTTCTTTAAAATAATTATTATTTCTCCAGCTATTTTTTGGATAGAGAAGTTAATACCATCTTTCTCTTTGAAAGGCAAGAGTAGTTAACATGCTATTAAATATATTTGTTGTTACATCTAATTACTTATTTCAAAAATGTTTTGGTTGGCAACACCTTTTAAAATAGATCATAACTTAGGGGTTAATTTTGATTTGAAATATTTTATTTCATTTTTCTTTAATATTAGATGTAGTCTTAGAGATACTAGGAAAAATTCTAGAAGTTGGTATTATTATTAGTTTAGTTGTAAGAGAGAAAAAAAATTGTCCACCAATAAGAATGTTTCAAGCAATAAGAAACATCAACAATAAGAATCATCACAAGAAAATTATAACTTTGGCACTAAAAAATATTTATACAAACACATGTCTTGAGATTTAAAGAGATCTCCAACTAAGCCAATATAAGAGAATGATCTGATATAAGTGGTTGAAAGATGGTAAAGTGTGGCAAATAAAAAACTTAAAGACATTTTTATTACATAATATCATAATTAAGATGCACATAATGGGAAATTCTTGTTGTTGTTTAGGACAATTAAAGGATAAACAAGTGATAGAGAAATCTGATGGCACATATTAAAAAAATATAGCTAAAACAAACCAACTAACGTACAAAGGAAAGAGAAAATGCCACTCAAAATTAACCAAGTTTCAACTATAGTAAGAACAATGTTTGTGACAGAATTTTAAAAGAAAATATTTTTGAAAGTGCCATTTTCAATATAAACAAACACAATCATGTAGAATTAGGTGTTGTGTTAATGATATCAGGGGCCATATCTTTTCATAATAGAGATTAACAGTAATAATTGAAGTATATTGAGGTTGGTACATCTGCATGTTAGCCTGGTTAGAAATGGAAGAAGCAACACATTTAGAGTTGCTTTCAAATATTTAAGAGTACGTGAGAGATGGGGAGTTGATACTCTGAGCCAAATGGATAAACAAACCTTCGTGATCACATGCAATAATGATAACAGATGTAAATGAATATGGGAAGGGTATAGTTTTAGAATAGTTGCTCCAACATGAGAATGTGCTTTTATTCCTACTTCTTTCATCACAATAAACAATTTCCTAAAACTTTGGAATTGATAAAATATTGTGTAATTTGTGGTATGGAAAGCACCATAAGCAACTATGTCGTAGGTAGAAGAAGGGGATTGTTTTAGTTTCCATAAAATCGATTGTTGAATATTCATTGGTTTCACAGAAAAATGATGAATTTTAAAAGAACAAAAGTTGTGGAAATCTAAACATTGTCCTTGACAGAGAATAATCCAGAAAATTAGCCATTAAGGGACCAATATTGGGAGGAATTACAATCTTATTAAGAAAGATAGATATTTCGGATTCAATTCAAAAGTAAATGGATGTTTAGGTAATTTGATTCAAATCAAGATTTTTTTAATGCTCTATATTAGATGTCAGCTTTTTGGGAAATAATGACTTTTCATTCAAAAATTAAGAACCTTTATTATTCATCTCATTCAATTCTTTGTCATTAGTAAACTTAAGAAAAAAAAATGTCATTTGTAAGGGACAATAGTTCAAATGTTCCTTTCGGCTTTCAAAGTTGCTTACAAATTAAAATAGGTTGTCAGAGGAAGACCAATAGTCAATAGCATAGATAACTCAAACAAGGCTCCAAAGCTTGGCTTTCCTCAGCTTCTTTGTCTAAAACAAAGTTTGGTATTTTTAGCATTGGATATAATTCACAGAGAAGCCGGAGGTATTAAGCAAATGTGCTGGTCGTAGAGCTTTTCAATTCAAGGACAAATTGGTTCAACCATTAGCTAGCACTAGTTGAAGAAGAGATGGAGATGAAGCTCAAAATGGAAGATAGGAAAATTCCACTATTTACATTGTAGCCCTAACGTGGCCAAGCTAGAGAATGGGGGATGCACAAAAGCAAGAAACACAAGTAGTCATTAACAAGTAAGGAAATTTACATACAAACCACATAAGACATAATTTTAATGTGTTTACTTATCTAAAAACTAATGCTTGATATTTTTATTTATAATACTTTGGTGTTAGAAATCTAAGCTCAAAAATGTATATTTTACTTCTAACAAGTTAATAATATGATATTTTTTTATGTTATACTAAAATTTTGTGCGGGTTTGCATGCAAATATAAAAGTTTAAGTACTTGATATGCAAATATATAAGAAATATGTGTATGCATGCATATAAAAGAGAAAGAAAAAAAAAAAAGGAGAAGGCAAAAAAGAGAGAAAGAAAGCTACCAATGAAGCTCTAATAGAGAGAATAATACACTATTGCCATATCAATTATTACTATATCAGAAAAATGTTGCACCCAAACTCATTAAAGAGGATAGCATTTGGGAAGTACTTATCAATGTACACAAAACAACAAAAAACGATTCAAATAAAAACGTTGCACAATGGATTTGCAATGTCGCCGGTTAGGCGAAGACCAAGACTATAAAACCGTCCCCACTCTCTTTCATTTCCTCCCCCAATTATCTCACCTTCACTTCCAACTGCCCGCTTTCATATTTTCTAATACCTAAAATAACCTCAAGTTTTAAACTATTTGCAACCCAGTCCCGGCTTCTGCTTCATTTTCCCTCCATTTGGAGCCTGGAAACGAGTCCAGGTTTCAATGGCGGAACCCATCAGACCGTTCTTTTGTCTCTTTTCACTCCCTGCTTCCACTTTCTAAAACGAAAGGCGGATTGGACAGAAGCCCGCGCGCGCGCAGTGGGAGAGAGAGAGAGAGAGATGCAGAGATTCTTTGTGGTCGCAGCTCTAGTGTTGCTGCAGCGATGGCCCATGGTGTTCTCCTTGAATCAGGAAGGTGAAGATCTTCTTCAGGTTAAACTCGGTCTTGACGACCACAGGAACGCTCTCGCTAACTGGGATCCTAATGATTCCACTCCCTGCAGCTGGGCAGGAATCACCTGCTCCAACATTACAGGCACCAGCGGAAAGCCTTCCGTGACAGGAGTTGATCTCCACGACCTCGATCTTTCTGGGCCATTCCCCGCCTCTTTCTGCCGCCTTCCCAATCTCTCCTTCCTCTCCCTCTCCCTTAATTTCATTAACTCTACCCTCCTAAATTCCTCAATCCTGCCCTGCCCTGCTCTCACCCACCTCGACCTTTCCCAGAACCTTCTCGTTGGTTCCCTTCCTTCTGCTCTTTCCTCTCTTCCTCTCCTCCGCTACCTTGATCTTACAGGTAACAATTTCACCGGAGCCATACCCCTCTCATTTGCCCTCTTCCCTTCTCTCCAAATCCTCTCCCTTACCGCTAACCTCCTCAATGAAACCATTCCCGAATTTCTTGGCAACATTTCCACTCTCCAGGAACTCAATCTCGCCTACAATCCCTTCGCCTCTGGCCCCATCCCTTTTTCTCTAGCCAACCTCAGCAATCTCCAAACCATCTGGCTTGCAGGCTGTGGTCGCATTGGCCAGATTCCTCCAACCCTCAGCCGCCTCAAGAAGCTCATTAATCTTGACCTATCCAGCAACCTTCTCACTGGTACCATTCCCGACACTCTCTCCGGCCTAGGTTCCGCTGTCCAGATAGAGCTATACAACAATTCACTCTCCGGCTATTTCCCCACCGGGCTCTCAAATATCACCACCCTAAGTCGTTTCGACTCAGCCATGAACCTCCTCTCCGGCCCGATTCCCGATGATGTCTTCTCTATCCCACTACTTGAAAGCCTCCATCTTTACCAAAACACATTCAACGGCTCTCTTCCTGCCACCGCTGCCAAGGCTGGCAAACTTGTGGAACTTCGTATATTTTCAAACCATCTCTCGGGTTCTCTTCCCGCCGAACTTGGCACTAACTCGCCGCTAATGTTCCTGGATCTATCAGGCAACCAGCTCACTGGCGAGATCCCAAAAGGAATCTGCGACGGCGGCAAGCTGCAGGAGATTCTTCTCATTAACAATTATCTTTCCGGCAGCTTGCCTGAAGGTCTCGGACGTTGCCGGACTCTTACACGTATCCGTCTTGCAAATAATAGGCTCTCTGGCGACGTGCCTGCTGGTATGTGGGGGCTGCCTCACGTCTCGATTATGGAACTCACGGACAACTCCTTTTCTGGCGGTATAGCTCCCAGCATCGCCGAAGCCGCCAATCTTTCCAATTTGCTGATCGCCGGGAACCAGTTTAACGGAATTATTCCAGAGGGAATCAGTTCACTCTCTAAGCTTTATGAATTCTCTGCCTCGGATAACCAGCTCGCAGGTCCATTGCCAGAGTCACTTGGATTATTAACAGAACTCGGACAATTAGATCTCCACAACAACTCTCTATCCGGAGAGTTGCTCACTGGAATTCAGTCCTGGAGGAGGCTTACCAAGCTAAACCTTGCAAACAATGAATTTTCAGGAAAAATTCCGCTGGAGCTGGGGAACTTGCCGGTTTTGAACTACCTTGACCTATCAGGTAACGTCCTTTCAGGTGAGATCCCTATCCAACTGCAGAATTTGAAGCTAAACCAGTTCAATCTATCCAGTAATCAGCTGTCAGGTCCCATCCCGCCAATCTTCCACAACGAAGCCTACAAAACTAGCTTCCTTGGCAATCCGGGCTTGTGCGCGGATTTTAATGATCTATGCCCGAGCAACGATAGTAATAGACACGGCCGCAGCAAGTTCTTCTGGCTTCTTTGTGCAATCTTTTTGTTTGCTGCGTTGGTATTCGTTGTTGGGATTGCTTTGTTCTACTGGAAGTATAGGAGCATCAAGAGGGGCAAGAAAATGATGGATAAATCCAAGTGGACCCTGACTTCATTCCACAAGCTGGGCTTCAGTGAGTATGAGATATTGGATTCATTAGATGAGGATAACGTAATTGGCAGCGGGGCATCTGGTAAGGTTTACAAGGTAGTTCTGGGCAACAATGAGGCTGTGGCTGTGAAGAAGCTGTGGAAAACAAAATCTTTGAAGAATGATGGCGTTAACCAGCAGGAAACTGCTTGTGATGCTTTCGATTCAGAGGTAGCGACTTTGGGGAAGATTAGACACAAGAATATTGTAAAGCTCTGGTGCTGTTGCAGTCACAGGGAATGCAAGCTTCTGGTTTATGAGTACATGCCGAATGGGAGTTTGGGGGACTTACTGCATAGCAGCAAGGCGAGTCTGTTGGATTGGCCCACCAGGTTTAAGATTGCCTTGGATGCAGCAGAGGGACTCTGCTATCTGCACCATGACTGTGTTCCGCCAATTGTTCACAGGGATGTTAAATCCAATAACATACTATTAGATGCGGAGTTTGGGGCAAAAGTTTCTGATTTTGGGGTTGCGAAAATGGTCGATGCTAATGGAAAGGGACCTCAGTCCATGTCTGTCATTGCTGGTTCATGTGGATACATTGCTCCAGGTATGTTTTTACCTGTGAAGCTTGTTGAACTTTCTAATTTTACATTTAATTTTTGTTTGCTGATCTTCTATAAAAAGCTTTTATGTCTTGCGTACTCATAAATTTATTGTCTGATGCTTTAGCCATCTTGGTTATGCTAAACTTTTGTCATGTTCTGGATTTCTATTTTTCATAGTGAATCTGCAGGGAAATCGAAAGGCTTTTGTTGTTCCCTCTGTGTTTTTTAGCCTAGAGTGGTACTTTTCTTGTTTCATAAATAAATTTTATAAGCACGAATTAGACCATTTTCGCGTCCTATGTTGCATCAATTTTACCTGTTTATAGTGTCATCCAAGCTGCCCTTCCAATTCATCTTTATAAGCACTCCATGCAACCCTATGTAAAAAATTAATTGCACGTCCTGATGAAGAAAGAGCACAGCATCTATGCTGTTGGAAGCTTCCACAACCTATAATTTACTCTAACAAATAAGAAGGCTTTTCTTGCCAACAGAAATCAATTATGGTATCATTTTCCATTGTTGAGTTGGTTATGGTAATATAAAAATAAATAAATAAATAATATAAACAATATATATATATATATATATATATATATATATATATATATAAACAAATGGACAGAGAATATTATACGAGCCC